AATCATTTTTATTTTCATTAAATAATATATCTATTACATTAGAGTATCCAGAGAAATTATCATTGTTTTCTAAATCTTTTTTATTATCATTGCACATATTACTTATTTCGTTTTGATCAACTTCTTCTGTTTTTTTTTCATCACTATAATTTACATCATTAAAGTATAATGAATAATGATTCAATTCATCTATTATTATATCATTCCAACCTGATACAGTTACTAAAAAATTAGATAACCATTTAATTTCTAGCGATTTATTACTTAAAATTTGACATATGTGTAATAGATGTGCTTTATATCCACAATCAATTAAGCTTTCAAATTTTTTTTTTTTTTTTTTATTTTTAATATTCCTACATCTTCTCACTGCATCAAAATATCTTAAACATTTTGGCAAAAAAGTGGTTAAAGCTAATATATAGTATAATAAGTATGAATATTCGTTTTCTTTAAATATAATAGTTTGTAATAAATCACACACAGATATATGTAATAAATTATTCCATTTGTATTTAAAAAAAATATCAATAGATATATCAAAAAAACCTTCATCTATTATTTCTGTTAATATATTTTTTGATTTAGTTTTTATCAAAGTTTTAATTAATTGAATAATTTCTAATGTAGTAAATCCAAGTATGTTTTTATTTTTATTTTTATTTATATTTTTAATATATAACTTCATAATATCTTTTATATAACTAAAAAAACATATGTCAATAAATGTGCTATTTTCTAAATATTCTATCCACTTTTCTAATGGAATATTAGCATCTCCCTCTTCTTTTTGAAATATATGAAATGTGTCTTCTTTATTATTCTCATTAAGAATATTTGAATTTTTTGACAAACTAAATATATCCTTACTTTTTTCTTCTTGTATAATTCCATCTTTTTTATTAATTTTATTACTGGCAATTTTTTTCATTTTATTTAATACTTCTTCAAATTTTATTTTTGTTAAATGTTCTAAACTATCATCTTCTTCTGAAGATGCTTCTGAGCTATATGAATCATAGTTGTCACTATCAAAATATTCATTTCTTTTTTCTTTATAAATACAACCATTTATATTATGAGAATCATTTATATCATAAATATTTTCAACTTTATTTTTTTCACTGTTTATTGTATTATTTTTTTGATCATTATGAGTATTAAAGAAATTAGAAGTGGTTTCATTTATCATATCATTTTCATAGAGATTCTTTTTTTCATTTAATAATTTTTCATTACTTAAATTTGATATATTCTCAACAGAATTATAATTATTATTAGCAGTAGTGGTATTAATATTATCATTATTATTATTAGAAGTAGTGATATTAATATTATCATTATTATTATTAGAAGTAGTGATATTAATATTATCATTATTATTATTAGAAGTTGTGGTATTAATATTATCATTATCATTATAATTATTATTATCATTATCATTATTATTATCATTATCATTATCATTATCATTATAATTATTATTAGTATTATCATTATTGTTATTTGTATTATTATCGATGTTAATTTTATTACAGTTATATATTTTATTAACATTGTTACAATCACTATTATATTCATTTAATATATGATCATCAATAAAATTATTATTTTTTTTAATTTCTTTTTCATCCATATTTTTATTCTGATTATAATAAAAATCTTCTTTTTGATTTTCTTTCTTAATAATGTCTTTATAATATTCTTTGTTGCAATTTTCATCACTTAAACTATTTTCTTTATTAATTGATGAAAAATAATTGGTATCTATATTATTATTAGTGAATACATTATTTAACTCACAATTTTTCTTAAATTCTAATTCTTTTTCTTCCTTTATTATTATTTCGTTATCCTCTACATTATTTTTTTTCTCTTCATCTTCTTTTTCTTCATTTATAATATTCATTTCATCATTTTCTTCTTTTATTTTTTTATTTAAATTATCTAGTTGTTTTTCTTTATTAATATCTTCTTTTTCTATTTCGTTTTTTTCTATTTCTCTTTTTTCTTTTTGATATTTTTCTAAATTTGTAATATTATTAATAACATCATTAGAAATATTCTGTTTTTCATATTCATTATTATCATAACCTTCTTCTTGTAAACAACTGCTGTTGTTGTTACTTAATGTTTGATTTTCTATCATTTTATTAGATTTTCTTTTCTTTTTTTTTTTAAATTTTTCTATCTCTTTAATTTTGTTTTTTTTTAATTTTTCTTCTTTATTATATATTTCCATACATTCATAAAAATCAATATTGTTATAAGTTTTTGCTAAAACAGTATAATGTAATAAATCAGAGATAATAGTAATAGCTGCTGAAATGGTATATGGACATTCTGAAAAAACACATTTGATTAAATAAGAAAAAGATAGTTGTGATGCTAAATCTATTAAAAAATAATTAAAATAATAGATTTCAGCTTTTCTAACAAATATATCTCTAATTAGACATGTTATATTATCTTCTCGATCACAAGGAATATAAATATGATCACAAAAATTTCCATCTAAATTGCTTAAAATTAAATATATAATATCTTTATTATCAAAAATACATAAATATGGGACTTTAACAAACAAAAGAACTTTGAATAATTCTGTTATATTTCTAGAATAAAAATGATATAAAAATGCTTTTAAATATAATTCTCTTTTTTTTTTTAAAAAATGAACCACATCTTTCGTATTCTTATTATAAATAGCTATAGCACATCTACTAAAATATCCTGCTAAAACTTCATTTAATTGATTTTTATTCAGTATAAATTTCCAAAAATATTTCATTAATTTATCATTATATACAATTGAATCAGTAATTAATTTATTTTCTGAACTTATTATTTGATGACTTTTATAAGGAAACTTATATGATTTATCATAGTTATCTTTATCATTTGGTTCTTCAATAATATAACTTAAAATTTTTTTTAAATTTTCTTCTTTTATTAAGAAATTCAACAATTCTATATTTTCTGATTTGATTTCCTGAATTAAACCTTCATAATTTAATATGCTATCTAAATCATTCGAATTGATATATTTTTTTAAATCAAATGTAATATCGTCATTTTTAAAACGCCAATATAGACCGTTTTCCATTTCATATAAATATTTTCAATAAAAATAAAATGTAACAAAAATAATATAAAAGGATAAAAAAAAAAAAAAAATAAAATAAAATAACATAAAAGAATTTGAATTAAACGAATATAAAATATTTTAATAAAATGAATCTTTATTAAATAACAATAATGTTAAACCAAATGCCTAAATATTTAATAAAATAAAATATTACTTATAAAATTTCCCAGATTAATGCAAATAAATAAAACCAAAGAGTTAAAAAAAAAAAAGAAAAAAAAAAATAATAATAAATATGTTTTATAATATTATGTTATTATACATATTCATATAATATGACATTTTAGCAGAAATAAAAGAATCTTACTTTTTTTTTTTTTTTTTTTTTTTTTTTTTTTTTTTT